ATATATATATATATATATATATATATATATGTATATATTCTGCAGATAAGTTTTCTTCTTATTTCTGTCCACATTTGTCTGAATAAATCTGCTATGGTATTTTGCAGTTCTGTGGTGCTTTATTTGATTCTTTTAAGCATATTTTGATTTATAATGCTTTTATAAGCATTTTGTCTTTGTCTTCTATTACAGAAACTCAAATAAATTCTGATCAAAATTACCTATCTTCCAATAAAGAGATAACAAAAACAGTAAATAAAAAATTGATCTGATTAAAAAAATATCATTTAAAGCTGCTAATGGGTGTCGTAAAATCTGTTCAGGAGGAAAACGAAGAAAAAAAAGTTTGCTTTGGTTAAAACACCGAATATCTGGGCAAATAAATATTTCCGAATAGAAACAATTGTGAACAATTTATAAAAGCTGTTATGCATTTTGGAATACTCTGTTTATTATAACGTATCGTCAATTAATTTTTAAACACTTTAATGCCTTTTTATAAATTTTTGCTCAGTTGAAATTTTAGCTAAACTATCTTTAGTTGTTTTCCAACAATTTTTCTCGTTTTTTTCTTTCGTGAAAATTTATATTCTCGTCAAACAATGAAGTGTATATTACAAAGAAAAAAAAAGTTTCCTTCCTGATCATCGATCGAAGAAGCTTATTAGCTGTATCAAAGGTTAGAGATGCTTTCGTGGTAGTAATAAAAGATGTGGGAACCGTCATTATCATCATCAACATCGTCGTTAGCTTCAGCTTTAACATCAACTTTAGGATTAGCATTATTTGAGACTGTTTATGGCAGCTGATCCAAGACAACTGTTAATCAAATGTGTTTTGATCAATGTTATTTACAGATAATTAAGTTCAGATAATGTGGTTTAGCGAAACTGCTTCACTGATCGAAACTTTTGATATTTAGTTATTTTTGTCTTTTTTTTTTCTTTTTTATTGTTGTTGTTGTCGATGATGTCTTTTTTTTTCTTTCGAATTGATTTGTAATTGCAAAAGTTTCTTGACTGATGCATAAAAGTTCGTCACAACGCAACTGCTTTTTCTTTTTTTTTTTCTTTTGAACCAAATTCATCACAAAAATTCTATCGTTTTGAGGCCAATTTACGTCAAAAAAAAAAAAAAAAAGTTTACAGAACGAAAAAAAAAGAGAAAAAAAACAAACAAACTTTAGAGGTGAATTTTTTTTTAAAAACAATTGATTGTAAAAAATTTCATAATAGTTCTTGTTTAAAATTTTTAGTTTAAATTTTTTAATAATGGTAGGCAACGAAAAAAAAATGTTGGCGACTAAATCGAACCTTCTCTATAGAAGTATTTCAATAATTGCTTTTCTTTCAGTAAAGGCTTCTGAAAGATTATTCAGAAATGTCTTCTACAGCAATTATGATTTATTAGTCATATTAAATCTCAGGTATCATTTGCAACTTTTTTTTCCCTGTTTGCTCAGTCTTCGCAGTCTTCTTCACAGCACTTATCCATCTGTTCAGCTCATCCGTTGGCTCTGTTCATAAGTGTTAACTAATAAGCAAAATTCGTTTTTAAAGTTTGTTTAAAGTTTGTATGATAATGCTCCTGATGTAGAAGATCGTTAGAAATTGAGCTTCTTTTTTTTTTTTTTTTTGCAGAAAATATTCTAAAGCTGATAAATTTTTTTATATATTCTGATCACTCAGCGTATTTAATTTTTGCCGAATATATTAACAAGTGATAACAAGATTGTTGTCTTTTTATTTTTGGTTCTTGTTTTTTCTTTTTCTTCTTTTTATTGGTGTTTCGTCTCTGATAAATATTTTCTTCAACTGAACTGTTTCAGTTATTTTGCATTAATTATCTAAATATCACTGTTCTGTTGGATTTTTTTCTAATGCCACTATTTTCCTGTTTTTTTTTCTTTTTTCTTTACCAATAACAATCAGTTATGACTTGCTAAAGAAACGTCAATTATTTTAATAATTTCTACTATTAGTTTTGGTTTATTTACAGCTATAATCATATTTAAACTGTAGCCGAAAAACATCTGGAATATATTTTAGAATGACAAAAAAAAAGTGCAAGCAAAGCATTTAGAAGTTAAAGTAGGTTTCTGAAGTTGTAGAACACAATTTTGGAATCTTAAAACTATTAAAATAACAATAACATGTTGATGATCAAACTCTCCTGAGAAGTTGTCTACACTGTCTTCATTGTAATCGTATTCTGCTCTTTCTGATAAAAAATATCTTTTTTTTTCAGTGACCACAAAAACTTGCGAAAAAAATTGTTTTCTACACATAAAAATGCAGTATCTGTTTCTAATCTGCAATTGTACAGTGGTTGTAATTTGGTTAAGTTTGCAGTTTCGGTTTCAACAACGCTAGTATCGAACAAAAGCAGCTGAGTGACGGTGACGTTGTTTGAGTCACTCCTAATACAAAGGCATTTGTTTCAACTATTTCGAAGAATCTTACTGCGTATTCAAGGATTCTGTTAGTATTTTTTTTTTTTGAACAGCAATGGGAAGAAGGATTGTATTTGACGAATCTGTACCAAAGTTAGAGTTTTTGCATCACTTATTTTTCTTATCTATTATTTATCTTGTCTACTAATGAAAGTTATTAGCCCAGTTTACAATAGAGTTGCCGGGTTCGTGTCGCTAAATAGCAAA